ACTTCATCAAAACCTGGGCTTTCCTTTGTTGGTAGTTGTTTATTATTATTATTACTATTATTATTATTATTATGTTATTTATTACTTCTTCAATTTTGCCAATATAGGATTATTTAGGACTTTTATATTTTTTTGATTCAGTTTTGCTAGTTCATATGTGTCTAGTAACCTATCCATTTCTTCTGAATTTTCCATTTTATTAAAGTATGGATTCTCAAAGTAGTCACCAATAATCATTTGCTGTGTTTTTCCAAATTCAAAATTAGGCAGAAGCACATAAAACAAGGTTCTAATACCCGCTGTCCTACAAGCCTACTAACTGATTACTTTGTTCTCATGCTTTGTCTTATTTTATTTCCAGTCCTTTCTAATGACTTTGCTCATTATTACTCAATCAGCACACAGGTGAATAATTCTAAACAAATATGGTAAACTTTTTCGATTAAAAATAATTTCTTATAAATCCATAAGCTATGAATAATAATGAATGGAACAAAGTTGTGAACATTTTATTTTAGGTCATGTTTAAAATTATTTTGGATCTAACAACTATAATCAAACAAGTGCCCCTAATAAACTGATATTTTTGTCTAGCTCAAGGTCAATAAAGTGATGGTAAAAAGCACATAGAAGAAAATTATATGATGATTTTAAAAGATGTCTGCAAATCACTGAGCAGATCACTGTTACCAAGAGGTAGGATCTTCCTGCTATAGTAAGTCCCTGACTTACAAATATTTAGGTTGTGAACTTTCACAGATATGAATGGATCTTGCATTACAAATATTCATTGATGCCAACAAATCATGGAAGTAGCTTCTGTGTCTGTCTGACATTGTCACAGTTATGCTGCTGTGTGCTTACTGTACAGTGCAATAGTGTACAGTATTTTTGTGTGTGTTTGGTGTTTTAAGCTTTACATTGTATATTTGGGTCAAAGGTGTATAAGCTTCACTTTTCCAACCTTATGAATGAAAGCAACTTTGAGCATTTTCCCAGAATGGAACTCATTTGTAAGTCAGGGACTTACTGTACTTGAACCTTGTATGTGGACTTTCATAATTTCAATGTATAGGGTACAGTAGAACTGTGCTATGTGAATTCCAAGGCTAGATCATAATATGTCATATAGCTTCCTCCTTATTTACATGGGACATTTGCCTTTGAAACCCTGAGATATCCATGTTGAATATGCCACATGTAGACTCTTTGATGGATATTCCTGTATAGGTCTCAGCTGTTCCAGTACTCAGATGTTTGTATCATCTACATGTTTTTAAACTCATCTAAACTGAGTCATCTCTGAGACATGAGACATTGTACAGCAAAAAAAGAGTAGTCTTTGCTCTGTGCTGACTTTCTAATTCAGAATCTGTGAGCATAAATATCAGTTAAAGTTTACACGAATTTTGGAGTGATTCATTACACATTAATAGATAATTAGAAAAACCACTTGCCAGGCTTCTCAAGTGATAGCCATAGACTCAAAATTGTCATTAAGCCAATGTGTAATCAAGTCAGCCAAATAAAGATGGGGAAATATGAGAAAGGGTAAGAAAACAAATATGGAGTTCTAAATCAGCAGCTAATTTTTGAGGAATGATTTTCATGTAAACTTCTGTATTACTGATGTCTCCTGAAAAAAAAAAAAGAATATTTGGCATCTGTAGGCCTGGATTGTCTCATGATAACAATTGAGAAGAGGCAAGAAGAGACTCCTATTTTGGTAGGACATGTGTTCTCCAGTTCAACCACATTCCTGCTTATCCAGCTTCACTCATACGCACCGTATGTTCCTTCTAACCTTCTTAGCTGCAACATCTGAACAAGGCTTGCCAGATTCTAGGACATTTCTAAGTCTAAGAACTGCTGAACACTCCTCCAAACAATCTATTTGTCCTCTGTTAGGAATACAAAGTGGTAAAAATGTGCATTTTTGCAGCAGAGCTGTCTAAATGCTTCACATTCAGGGAAATCTTAGAAATTCCTATGATTTTATATAGGAATATATATATATATATATGTATGTATATGTGTGTATATATATATACATATATATATATGTATAGTGCATATGTGTGAAATATATTGAGTGTCTTTAGTTCCAAATAATACCACCTTTAGAGAACAAAGAAAAATGATATTTTTTCTGGCCAAGCAAATGAAAATATACTTTGAATGGTTCAAACATATTTTTATACACAAGATATTCTAACATGGAATATAAGTATCCATTGTCTTCTCTGAATTCATCACTATATTACTAAAATATGATACAAATTACAAGAACTCCCAGCAATAAGCTATACCAACTTCAACTTTCAACAACCATGTATGAGTGTGCTCATTTGTCCACATACTCATCAACACTAAGAACTCCTGATCTTTTAAATCTTTGTTTATTTCACTTTATTTCAGATTTCTTTGTTTTGGGTTTCAGTTTTGGTTTTTTGAGACAGAGTCTCAGTATGTAGTCCAGGTTAACCTTGAATTTGCTATGTAACCCAGGCTGGCCTCATACTTGTGGTCATCTTACCTCAGCTTTCCAAATGCTGGGATTACACCCATGTGCCACCATGCCTAGTTGATTTGTATGATTTTTTTATGAAAATAGTCCATATTCTCTTACTCTCTCATGTGAAATACACCAACAGTTTCCATTCACATTTAGAATAAAAATCAAATTTTTACAGGGAACTGAAAGATCTTACTATATGACATTGTTCCTGTCAAGTTCTCTGCCCCACCTTCTACTAGTCCTGTCTTTGTTCATTAAGATTTCTTTGTATTCTCCAAAAGTACTACATTGTTTCTCACCTACAATATTTATTAATCCCTCTGCTTGAAATGTTCTACCCCTTTCTCTTAGCTGGCTTCCTTTGTCATCCAGGTCCCCATTTAAAATTCATTTCTTCAGGAAGATTTAGGCTTGAATTTTCAGGACTAGTCAGCAAGAGTCACAGGAAGGGTTTTGGTAGGCAAAAATTCAAAAGTACACGCTCAAAGAAATGGAGTCTGGGCCCTTAAGAGGGAGAGGCAATGATTTTTCTGGAACTGGGATCATTTATGTCTTTCTTGAGGGGGTAAAACCCCATGAAAATGTGGCCCACCCCCACAGAAGGCTACTTAGCTCATTTTACTGCTTTTGTTTCTTCTACCCTAGTGCCCCAGGAGAGGTTCCCAGGTTCTTGTATGCAACAAATACCAGAGGACCACAAGGAAACAGTGGCAAAGTTTATTAATTGGGAGAGGTCACGCAGGTGAAAGGAAAATAGCAGGAGTGCAGAAGGTGCAGGGCTTTACATGTCCAGACTGCTTTCATATACCTCTTATCCAGGTCCTCCAGAGCATGACTGGCAGCATGATTGACATGGTACTGAATCACGTCTGCTTGGACTATTATCATTTACCATAATTAACTCTGTTATACTTGCATGTATAAGATGCAGTCTATACACATGAACTTTCAATGAGCTCCAAGGAAAGAAAGGTTACTCTAGGGTACACAAGGAGGTCTAGTGTGACTGCATCTTGATTTGGAATTTTCAGAATTTTCCTTGGTGGGTTTGGGGGTTTTTGTTTCCCTTATCTGGACCACCAGGTGGTAAACCATGAGGTAGGCTTAAGGGTTGGCCCTGAGATATCACCCAGGTTTTAGTGAATAGAGGAAAATGGTCTCTTCACTCCCAATTGTGCTGTCTCCATTATTACCTTATAAACATTTTTAAAAACTGGATTTCAAGTTTGAAGAAAGGAGCATCTACAATCATGATCCTGAGTTTTTAGCTTCAAGTTTAGTTGTTTCACCAATCACCTGCTTATTTCTAAAATTTTTGAAATGTTCACACTGAAAGGTAGATGGCTTTGGAACTAATTTCTGCATACTGTATATGTAGATTCTGAGTTCATTCTAAGAAAGTATTTGTAAGGGTGGTTTGGAAGGAAAATCAGGGAATAAGAGGGTTTCTCTCGTGATGGAGTAAAAAAAAAGGGAAGGAAGGGAAAGAGGATTTTTAAAAAGGAATTAAGACGTATTATATAGATTACCAACTTCCCATAAACAATGCAAACATTATGTACTACACACATGTACTAATAAACTAAAATAATTTTTAAAAAACTTTCAAAAAAGTATATAACATCTCAAAGGAAAATAAAAAATACAGAAAATTACATAAAATGGCCAAGATGTGAAAACTGGACTTCTCCCAGATTTACTTTAGATCATTTTTAAATGCTAACTATATGAAGCAGCCTAGAGAAAATATTTCTGTGCAGTACAGTTCAGCATAAACAAGCCTTTTTTGTTGCAAGATGAAGTATTTCCTTAAAAGTGAAAACTTCATAATTTCTGAGTTATGCTTCCTTAAAAAAAGGGAAATATATACAGCCCACTCTACCTCAAGGTGTGTATGTGGGGAGGAGGAGCAAGTTGGGAGGGGGCAGTGGTGGATGCTGTAGATCCTTTCTGGCAACCAGAAAAAGAGCAAATACAACCTCAAGATGGTGATGCTATTTGTAGACCCTTGGATCAGACAGAAACAAGATGAGTAACTGGCGGTGTGCAAAGGACCACAGCATACAAACAAGCGGCAAGGGGACAGTACGTGCATAAGCCTGGGATTGGTACGCTCCTGCAGCAGGGGCTGCCAGCAGTCGGGGGCCAGCTCGCTAGTGACGTGCACTCCTCACGTGACCCTGAGCCGCAGAGTTACGTAGCCTTAGGTGCAGTCCTCACTCTCGTCTACCTACCAGCTCCGCGCTTCCCTGCACACAGCAGGCTGGCACTGGGCCTGGGAAAGCGGAGCAGGTAAGGGCCCCTGGGCCCTCGTGACGCAGCCAGGCAGCAGCAGCAGCAGTTTGCCCACCTGGCGGTGAGTGCAGGAGGACCGAGCGGCAGGTCTCTAAGCTTTTTCTAAACCCCAGCATCCTTGGGCACCCTGACAGTGGGGGTGCAGGGGCAGCTAGAGTGCAGGGGGAGGGATGATAGAGCAACTCAGAGGGATGGGCGATTACCCTGTTTGTAAAAGCTGCGGGGGAGGGGGGAGCGGAGACTGGGTTTGTGGAGCTAGGGCGCTGCGAGGAAGGGAGGAAGTGGACAAGGCGCAGGGGCGGGGCGGGAGCCAGTGGTGAGCGCTTAGTTGCTGCTGCCGGGCTCGTCCCACCCACCTGTCTGCAGGTTTGTGGGGCCCAGGCTCCAGGCGGCGCTCCTGGCAGCAAGAATCTGGAAAGGGAGGAGGAGGAAGAGGAGATAAGATAGGCCCAGGTCGTTGCAGGTGGGGGCGTGTGGAAAGCCCAGTTGGAGACTTCCCGTACCTCCCCCTCCTTTCCTTCCTTCCCTCTTCCTACCCCATTTCCGTCCTCCATTTTGATGCCTGCAGAGGTCTGGGAAAGGAAAAATGGTGGGCTTTGAGGGAGGGTAGAGGAGAAAGTGGAAGGAGGGGCTCAAATTAGAGACCCCCTAGAGTCGTGTGTAGCTTCTAAGATGGGGGAAAATGACATTTAGAAGGAAAAAAAAAACTGTGATACATATCAGGGCTCTGAAACCTGGTTAGTGCACCAAGCATTCATTCTCTCTCCTTGCCCTTGTCTCGCTTGTGTTCAAAGAAAAACAACCAGAAAAAAAATTTCATCATGGCAAATATCCACCAGGAAAACGAAGAAATGGAGCAGCCTATGCAGAATAGAGAGGAAGACCACCCTTTGGGAGGAGGTGAAGGCCGCCAGCCTGCAGGAAATAACAGACGACAGTCTCGCCGACTTGCCCCTAATTTTCGATGGGCCATACCCAATAGGCAGATTAATGATGGGATGGGTGGAGATGGAGATGATATGGAAATGTTTATGGAAGAGATGAGAGAAATAAGGAGGAAACTTAGAGAGCTACAGTTGAGAAATTGTCTGCGTATTCTTATGGGGGAGCTCTCCAATCACCATGATCATCATGATGAATTTTGCCTTATGCCTTGACTTCTACCATTTTAAATGAGATTGATACTGTGATTCCCACTGTTTTCATTGCATTTTCTTAATATGCCTTTATTGATCTATTTGCTGTGAACTTTCTGTTACTTCCATGTGTCTGGTGGGTCTTGTGTTATTTACCAGCTTCTAATTGGAAATTGCTTTACACGCATCTAAATTTCTGTCAGCAGTAGAATTTTACATATTTGCATGGAAAAATGTGAAGTTAATAAAGTACTTAATAAGCTATATATACATGTATTGTGTCCTTTAAAAATGTATGTATATATAAATATAAGACATGAACCAAAAAAATCAGTACACCAGAGTGTTAATTGGGGCACATATTTCTCTGGTAGAATGATAGGTGATTTTAATTTTTCAATGAGTATTTTTAGTGTAGTACAGATACATAGTAATTACTGGCTCAACAAATAAGAGTAAACACTCCCTTTATTATAAATACATTCCTTTAAATGGTTTCTTTCTCTTTGGTGATATAGGGAACAATGCTTGTCTTACAAGGCTGCTGAGTGGAACAGACAAGGTGTAGAACTATATTGGTCTGGTTCCTGTCCGACTCTCCACCATTTAATGGAACCCAGGTATTTGCAGAGAACTGGAGGGTGTTCTCACTCATGCTCACAAGTCCATACAATAAAAATAAGTAGATTCTCCCATGCCATTCTTCCTCTATTACTTGAAATTCTCCTTATCTTTGGAGTATTAACCTGTTAGACACTTCTGCTGAGTTGTTTCTGTTCTTATTGGTGACATAATTATAGTCCTCAAAATAACTGAACCCCATTATTTATCTGGAGTTCCTATTGAGCCACATCTCCCCTGTGACCTCTGTAGAAGTGTGAAGAATGCTTCTATTTACAATTTTAGACATATTTTTCACTGGAGCACAAGTCCTATGGTTCTTGGGCTTACATAGCTGTTTAACAAAATACTGTTTCCTGGTTTTATTTTTATGCCCCTCCTCTTTGAAGAACTTAGACATGAATGTCCTGGGGTGTAGCTCAGGTGTTTCACCAGGTTGTGCCTAGAATTGTATTCCAGCAAGATTCCATAACATAAATAAGCCACAGCCTTTATTTTTGCCTGTGTTTCAATCCTTTGGTTTTTCTCAATGGAGACTCTTGCCAGGTGTCTTAGTTATGACTTTGTTTTTTTGGAACAAAATACCCCATCACAAGTTAAAGGAGTAAAAGTTTAACTCAAAGTTTAAAGAGATTTCAGTCCATAGTTGGCTGGCTCCAAGGAAGACCAGCGTGGCATAGGGTAATGGCAGGAGAGAAACAGTTCATGGTGTGGTAAGCAGAAAGCAATGAAGCATTGAGTCTTTTCCCTTTTATCACATCAGGCAACAAGCCTATTCAGTGATGCCACTCACACCTAAGGTAGGCCTTCCCATCATCCACACAGAAAATTATGCTAAACCTATCATTGGACTGATTTAGTTATCACCCCTTAATCCATATTCAGCCACCTCTGGAAAGCCTCACTTATGATAATATATAATTATATACTACAAGATCATTATACATATTCTGATTATGCTGAAAATTTAGGCAATTATAACAAAACTATAATACTTAAAAATACTCAAGATACCTCTTGTAACTTTTCTCTCCTTTTGTTAAATTGAGGTTACTGGAGTTTGAAACACAAGACTCAAGTATGTTAGGCCAGCACTGTCCACACTGAGCTAGATCTTCAACTCTACTTTTGTTCTATATTTAGTCATGCTAATGTCAGATGCAGAGCCTTTTATGAGAAACACGCTGCCTATTTCAAAGTCCCCTGCCTAGGAAACACATTTGGCTTACCATGTTTAATTATTTTTTCTTTTTTATTGAGGATATTGGTACAATCTAGGTGTACAAATACAGTTACATTCATAATTGGGATTCTGTACCTTTACATAATAGGTCTTGATTCTCATTTTTCCCTTTGTCCCTGCCCTCCCTTCACCCCCTCTTCCCCTCCCCATTTACAAACACTTTATTTCCATTTTTTCAGTTTCTCATATTATTTTCCTCACCCTTAATACCTTTCCCCCACCCTTCCCACTTTCCTTACACCTTTAGCCCTTTACTTCCAATTTCACATTATTAATTGTCTCATTAGGATCCTGTGTACTATTATAGTTTTTCACACCAAAGAAACTATTCGGTATTTCAGTTAAAGAAATCTCTGTATGAACATTAAAAATAGGGAATCCTAAAATAAAACTAAAAAGGAAAGTAAAAGAGAAAAGGCAATGATGTAACATCAAAATAATCCTTAATTCTGGAGATGAAAATGGTCCCTGAACATATTTAAATTGATTCTTGCTCTTATAGTCTTATCTTATTCTTTTTTCATTATTTAGAGAATACTTTATTAGTTTCTGTAATCAAACCCACGTAGATATGACCTTACATTTTTAGTACGATGTGTTACCCCTGTACACATGGAAAAAAAATAAAATAAAATAAATTAATATTTCTAGACCTATATGGTTGTCCATTTC